TCACTATTCACTCAATAAACATCAGAACGGGCTCAAAATTTGAGGATATGGTTGATTTCCTGCGCTAAACGCGATTATACGATCGAAAAACCAGAAAAAGTATATTTTTATTATTGGGTTTTCCAGAAAACCTTAGGGTTTTATAAGATTTCTTTTGAGATCTTCTATAAACATGATATAGAACAGCTTAAATACTCTACATTCTGAAATTTTGAACTCGTTCTGATGTTTATTGAGTGAATAGTGAACTTTTTAATATTAGGTGAAAACAGCCTGAAAACGCAAATTTTCGTAAAACTCGCTTTTCGGTAGATTTTTAGAACTTTTTCTAAAACAAATATTGTCACAAGACTCAGCATAATCGATTACCAATAGTCCATCCGTTTTCAAAGCTACCGATAGTCACCGGATGTCAGTCTTGGGACTCGTAGGAAATCCGATACAACGCCTGAACCGCGGAAAATCAAGGTCTTACTTCATTCCCATTTTGAAGAGAACATCTCGGGCTATTAGTCCATGAAAAAGAAGTAATACAATCCTATTAGAGAATTTTTACAGACGGCCTGGTTTTTCAAAGATCTCCTAGAAAACCTATTTCAGAAAACTCTTCTAAAAACAAAGTTGGTCATGAAATCATACCTTCAAGTCTCTTCCTTTGAATGGCGAAAACCGGAGCTCTCTAGCTCTTTGCTATCAAAAGTGATTATTAAATTAATAGCACATGTCCGCCTGTTCTAGCGAAAATTGCCCACTGTGTGCAAGTGGCCGGAATTACCCCATATGACTCTATGTGCTTTTCAGAAAAAAGTAAAAACCTCCACAAATCGAAAAGTCAAAATTCATTCAGAAAAGAAACTCAAAATCAGAAGACTTGGCAACTATTTGTTCCCGTACAAATAAATACAAGATCAGCAGTTATTGTCGTCTGTTTATCTGTGTTAAATGTAGATTCACTTTTTATATTCTTGCAATAATTGCTCCGTATCAGTACGTTCATTTAATAGAATTTTGATATTTAACGCTTCTAATTGTACTTTTATTGATAATAAGAGATACACCACAACAATTTGAATACACGTTTATCTTCAAGTACGGAATATCCTTTTTCCAAATAATCCTCTTTATTCAGAACGACTACAGCATTACCTTTATCCACTTTTGAAATAACCAGCGATTTATCATTTAAGAGTGTTTCAATCGCTTGAATTTCCTCGTAAGATAAGTTCGGGATATCAGATTTCCGCCTCCTGATAATGCTGTGATCAAATTGTGATGTATCTCTTATTATCTATATTGAAATTCTTCACCTTACAAAATGATTCAATTGTACTTTTATACTATGATACAATTTTTCATTAAATATTTTCGACTGTAATTAATGTTCTAAACGTCGTAATAGAGTTGTTTATTTTTGATATCTTTTACACTTTCTCCGGCGAATTCACATCTAATCGACTCAACTCCTACGATCACAATTCGTTGATACTGTTCGATTTTTTTTGTAAAACCGGTCTTTGAAATTTTTTTCAAATTCGTTTTTGCTTATGAAAACATAGCTTCAGGTCTTGACCAGAGAATGATAAAAACCGTCAGTCCCTATCTTTTATTCCTTTTGAGTTGTTTAAATTTTTGTGTTGTAAGAAAAATCATGGAAAAGAAGCGGTGCCGTAGAAATTTTCTGCTGAAAAAATATGTCGAAAAATGACTGAATAACTCATTCAATTCGGTTTCTGACGCTAATCACGATACGGGCTTGGTTTCACTTTAAAATACTTTCTTCAAACCAAAAACGCAAAATACTATTCTTAAAATTTCATGATTTCTACGCGATACCTACTGTCGGGAGCACTAGGGACTTTCACTGAGCTTAACGTTGCCCACCGAAATTTTTTCATCGACTGATAGACCAAAGTTGGAACTGCTCATGCCCCAAATATTTCTAAAATTCGTCTTATGCCATGAGAGAAAATCGATTTTGAAAACTGACATTTTTAGACAAAGTCGCCACTTTCGATGCAGTTTTTATTTGAGCGACAGCGAATTAGAAGCTCGCACGTTCAGGTGTAGTAGTATGCAAGGTCCTCTATCTAATGGTATTTTCATAATTTTATAGAAATATTTCGTTTCAATGCAGTATGGCTCCAAAGTGGACAAAATATGAGTTTACGACGCACCGGATACAAGTCACTGTATGAGAACCAAACCATTTCCAGAGGTCGGGTTTGTTTTAAAATTGAAGAAGAATGTTGGTGCTAATTATGTAAAAGATTTGACCTCTTTATCTTGTATGATTGCCGAGATATGAGCAACGCAAAGTTGTCAACCCAGATCGAACGATACGGTCCATATACCGACGGTCTACTGGACGCAGGAATACGAACCGTAACATCATTAAAATAGGTATTTTCACAATATACGGCCCGTAAACGGTACCGTTTCTGGGCACAGTAATACGGGGTCGTATACTGTGAAAATACCTATTTTAATGATGTTACGATCCGTATTCCTGTGTCGAGCAGACGGTCCGTAACGGATATCCGTTTTGGTCGACCTGGGAATATGAGAGATATCGCATTTTTCAAAAGTAGGTCGAAATTTTAAAATGCTCGTTTCCCAGCAACCAAGCAATATTTTTTCAAACGGAAAACGCGATTTTACTCAGACATATCTATATTTCCTTTTATGACTGGTTTGAACGAGTTCTGCGACACACGTTTGAGCAGTGTTTTATGTGACGCAGTCGCCACTTATGTGAAATGGCTCATAAGCAGCACAACTATGATGTTCAGCAATTTTTCCCGAGAATGCATAAGAACCACCTGTAGCAGCAATTAAATAATCAAATACAAGTGGATTCAACCGTCGATGGATTTGAATGTGTTCAGCTGTTTCAGCGGTCACATCGGCTTGGATAACCCAACCTTGAAAACAGACAAACAAAGTATTTTTGTTTTAAGCGCCGTGGTAAATTGTTGAGCAATTATGTTTAAAATTTTTTTCACTCACCATGTGCAGTAATTTACCGTAGAGTATCAATATTTGTCTTGCATATTCTTTTTCAACTGATGCATGCAATGCCACAACATTATGTAAAAAAAGGATTTACGATCAATTAATATAACAAAAGATTGATTTGTTCGATCCAAAATTTTTGCCACATCGATTCCATCATATCCGTCACCCACTATAATTACCACAGACTTTTTACCCGTGTTTTGTTCTGAACTAGCAACACCCATCTTGGATGAAATCGAGAAGTAAGGGGAAAGCAACCAGTTGTCGATATTTGAGGAAACTTGACACTACTATTTTTTCGTACAGATAGTAAAATGTAACAGTTAGTTCAAATTTCTTATATGGTTTTCTTCTCGCCATAATCTATCGAGGGTATCATGTCAAAGTAACAACGGTTAGATTTTTAATTTAAAGTTCGTTCGCCAAAACAATGTTTTTTGAAGCGTCTGTTTGACCCTGTGCTTTATTCTGCAACTTAAAAAGTGAATAAACAAAAGGACAAAGAAGGAAATATGATTTATCATAATACCGTTGAGGAAAAAGACTGGAAAAATATTATTTGATCATCTAAAAAGTATACTGACAAATTACCATCTTATTATTCCCTTGACTGCAAAGTCTAGGTCATACGAAATTAAATGCATGTACCTTTGTGTCGCCACATTTTTCATGCGAGAGGAAAAAACATTAAATGCATGTACGTTTGTGGCTCCACACTTTGCGTGTAAAAACGGTAAGCGAGGGACGTACATACAGATAGTCATGTGGCAGTATGACGGACGTGTATCTGCATAGTGAATGATGAGTGCTTCGGAGGTATGGGGACATGCGTACGTTGAAAAGGTCTGCTCATATTCACAGGGGGTAACGTAAGAGCAAATATAGTACTGCCAGATAACGGCCCTTAACACTACACCCACGGGGAATTTTAGTAGGTACCGCGGTGTGTACACGCGTGAATATCATGAAATGAATTATGGTCGCACATGAACATCGTAAAATGGTGTGTGAGCACGCGTGAAAAATATATTCCACTGGTGACAACAGGTGAACTGGTCACGAAAACGTTTCGCGTCATATTTTTTGCACGTGATCACAGGTGAAAGTCGTGAAGTGTGTAGTGGCCACACGTGAATTTTTCATGTAAAAAAATAAAATTTCCGTAAAAAAATATCACTTTCGGACACGCGTGAAAATGTTTCCCACTAATTTCATTGTGAAAAATATCTTCACATTTATTCGCACGTCAGTTTTTCACGCAACCCATTTCGTGAATAATATTCACGCTTAACTCCAAGCGACAAAATTCTTATGTTTCACGCGCG